GCACCGGTGTTACCGCGGCAGTCTTTTTTCCTGGGGGGTCTCAGACAAATAGGCCTGCCTACAGGACCGGCTGCGGCACCCGCTGATATTAACGGTTGGCGCCGTGTGTGCTGACAATCAAGTGTCTATAGACAGTACCGAGGGCCGAGACCCTACGGGGAAAAGCGACCACGTTAGCCGGCAGCACTGGGCACACCACCTGACGCCGCCGCCACAGGCACTATCGCCACCAGAGTGCCTGACCCAACCAGTGGCTCGCCTCCCCCGGAGTGGCACTGATCGCATTATCGCTAGGCGGGACAATCTGTTTGTGGTTGGCTATTTTTTCATGGGGGGCATGGCAAGCTAGCCGCCACGCAGCAAGTACACAAAACTATGAAGCCACCGGGGATTAGGTTACAATAGACCGCTAATGTCACCTCAGCGGCCGGGGGAGGCACATGAACACGAACGGCCCTGTCGCCCGTTTGACACAGAGGGGGGCAACGGGGAAGCAAGCGCTCCAGCGAGAAAGGGGTGTTGTGAACGTTTTCCACCGTTATCCGACGACTACTAAAAAAAAAACTAGAAAAATGTCTCAACACGCAGACCAACAGCCCGACAAATATACAAGGCGTTGGTATGAGGAACGTGTCTGAGAGGTTGTTCTAGCAATCTTTTCCCCTCCACTCACCCACGGATCAAGGTGGTGCAGTGAATAGATCGCATCGTATCATGGAAAGGAAAAATTGTTTGGCGGTGGTCTAGACTTTTATATACGGCAGCGTCAGGAGTTTGTCCTGCAGGTAACCGGCGTCCGCTAAATTTTTTTCGCTCTCTCGCTCTCTGCCTGCCTGTCTCATCGCCTGTAGTGGGCGTGGGTAAACCAGACCGACGCATTAGGGTTGGACGCCGCAGCCAGCCACCTAGTTGGCAACGGCTCCCGGCCACCGTTTGCGGTTTTTGCCCCCCCACCTACCCCGCACCAGTGTCTAAAGGGCCTCGAACCATTCGGTGATGCTCTGTATTATCGATTACATCATGCCTAGTTACTAAGTTTCGTTGACGTCATCGTCGTCGGTGAGTAATTTAGAGTTGGTTCTCTTGGGTGCGGCGTACGGCCGCTGGCCCAAGCGCTGTTTTTCAAGCTTATGCTTTGTCAGCCGGTGGCGACGGCTCTTCATGTGGAGCCGGTGCTGCTCCTCGCCGACACTGACTAACGGGTTGCCGTGGCTATCCTTGCATATGTCACATTGGAAGTGCTTCCACTGGCGAGCACCTTCCAATGTCTTCCCCAGCGTGATGGTGGCAAGGTACTCTTCCAGCGGTAGTATGTGCTCAAGGTGCGGCGGCGCCTGGGGCTCGGTGATGGGCGATCGGGCAATGAACTCCGACGCAATCGCCACCCCGCGATCCCGAACTCGGGTCGACCACTGGCTCAAGTCGGTGGCGTCGAGAAGGTACATTTTGCCGCCATTGACCCAATTGAAACGCGCCTCTTTCTGTAGCTCTACTCCTAGCAACCGCTTGATCCACTTCACTTGGTACTTGGCATACTGACGCGTGCGCAGCTTCATCCGCTCGATGCCCTCGGCCCAAGCGTCACCGCTGGCTTCACCACTTTCGAGCCACGGGAGAAACTCCTTAAACCCAATTACTTGCCACACCCCCAGCGTACAATCACTAGCGCCACTCTGTTGGTATACCTGGTACATCTCTCGAATCTCATCGCGGGCCCCCAGCGCCATCATCTTATCGACGCGGGCATCTAGACGCGGCACAAGCACCTCACGGTCGCTGTACACCCAAAAGAGAAGCAGGTTGAATTTAAGCGACGACTGCTCGAGCTCCTCAAGCTTCTGGTCGCGGTACAATTGACTGGGCGCCGCCCCCGTCTCGTAGTATATCTCAAGAGCACGACGTAATTTACGGTGATCCTGAGGGTGGAACTTCTCGGCAATCACCGGGTCCACCTGTTGAAGCGCCGGCCACAACTGGTCGCCAGGACCATCGAGAATCGCCCGCTCGGCTTCGGTAATCGGTCGCGTGCGCTTCACCTCCGCCCCCACCGTCTTATTGTGGAATAGAAGATTCTGAAGATAATAGTGGGTGCCGCCAATGATGATCGGCACTTTCCCCCGACGAAGAATGTCGTCGATCGCCGTTTGGGCCTCGCGGGCAAACCGCTGCATGTCGTAGGTGTCGGTCCAGTCAACATGGTCCATGACGTGGTGGGTCACCCCCTGGCGCTCTTCCATCGGGTGCTTGTTGGTGATCTGGTCTAGACCCCGGTACACTTGCATCAGGTCAGCATTGATGATCTCGCCGTTGATGGCTTTGGCAAGATCAATCAGAAACTAGGTGTTAGTCGATATTCCCATTTGACGGTATACTCATATATTTTACTTACTTGGGACTTGCCCACCCCCGTAGTGCCAACAATCGAAATCACATTCGGTTTCACTGCACTGGCCATAGTTCTGATAGCGTGGGCCGAAGACCTCATCCACAACCTCGCGCTGTGGGGGAAGCGTTGATAACGATGGTGGCCCATCGCAAGTTCGCACCGCACTCATCACAACGCCGTGCACGCAACCACTACCAACTAAGCGATGATCTCCTCACCATATTTCTTTTGCGCCAACGGTCTACAACCTTCACGTTATTTTTTTCCTCCTGTCACTTCAGAAAAGCACTAACAAAATAATTCATGCGTTTTTGCGCTATTCTGGAGCCGTTGGCAGTCTCCACACCCCGGGGAACATGCCGTGCTGGTTACGTGCCTCCATCTCTTGCGCTTCTACCCGCCGTCGGGCTAAAAACTGCTCACATTCCTGGACGACAGCGGTGCCTTTAACCAAGAAGTCGCAATAGAACTTTGACCCCTCCTCAAGATGACCTAAAAGCTCAATGTAGCTGATGTAAACGCTCTCAAAGTGCAGGAGCACCTTCTCCCTCCGGGTTTGAGACTCGCTGCTGCGGTCAGCCCATATTGTGGTAAAGTCGGCATAAGCATTGGATATTTGCTCTTGCAACTGTCTTTGTCGCTGAATGAGGTTATGCACATGTTCAAGATCGGGGTTGTACATGCGAAGGTGTTCTTCGTACACTGGTTCAAACACTCGCTCGTTGAATGATCCGTCGTCATTGTACGCCGCCAGTTTGTCTCGCTTATACTGCTCAATGATTTTCGGCAAAATATTATGGTCTCGGCCACGAATCTCCACCTCGTCTGCAAGTTTACTTGATTCGGCTTTTAGGTTGTCAACCTGCGTTAATAGCTCACGGAGAGTCCGGATCGTCATTGTTACCTGAGAATCAAGCGCAACATACTTGGAATCGGGGATGACTTGTTGTAATTGCTCTTGCGGACCACTGTACACCTCAAGGTCAACCTTCATGGTGGCGTACAGCTGGCGAAGGTGAGCATCTCCCACTTTGGCCTGACTCAAATAAGAATCAAGCTTTTCAAGTTTACCAATGATATCCTGGGCTGCCACTTCCATTGGCGGTCGCGTTCTTTGACCATACATCGACACCAATTGGCGATCTTCCGACTCATCCATATCAAGTCGGCCTCGACACTCTCGTACGAGTTGCTCCAGTTTGAATGCCAATTCGGCCACCTCGGCAATCTTTTTATCCGTAGCCTCCACCCCGCCTCTCTGCTTGATGTCCCATGCATGTTGCAAAAGCGAATCGGGTAAGTTCTCTGGCTGTTGAATAGCATCGATTGAAGCCGGTAAATTTCGTTCGTTAAGGAACTGAAGCATTTTTTGGTTAGCTTGGTTAATTGGATTGGTTATTTCAGCAACGACAAAGTCGTCTTGACGTTCTCTGAAGGCTTGAGCCACCTGTAGAATCATATATGGCAACAAGTCGGCGAATAGTTTCTCTTCCAGCGAACCTTGTTTGAGGATTTCAGGGACCACAGGCGCCACCATATTGGTACCCACAATTGGCTTAAGATCCAGTTCCAGAGGCACCACCTGTAGATAAATAAGATCATTCTCTTTTTCAGCAGCAGATAGAGTGTCTTTGATAACTGTATCAAGCCCACTCAAGTCTTCAATCACAAATGAATTGACGTATCGCTTATGCTTGAATGCTTGGGCACATTTAGCAGCAGCCACTTTGAGATGAGCAACTTGTTGACCGTATTGTTGACTCTGGAGAGCCACATTAGACATACGCAAATGAGCAGCAGCAGCAAAGTGATATTGCTTTACTCTCATATGATTTAGCCATTCTAAAATGATCTGTGGCGATTGGGTCCCCTTCTCAAATGCCTTTTGGTAGTATAGCGACGCTTGCATAGACAAACGAGCGATCACTGAGTCCTTCAATTCATTTGCTACGGCCGTCTGCCAAATACACTCCTGAGCTTGGGCCATCATTAGCTGTTCAAGGCATTCCAACGTATTGCTGTCGCATTCTCGAGGGGCGCGATTGGGTGTTGCTTCTACCATTCCCTGAAGATATTGCCACGTTCCTGCTGCTAACTGAAAGTAGTTGCACAGTTTCTTGAGACCATCTTCGGTATAGCGAGACTCTTTCAAAGCCAACGCACAGTAGATTGCTCCCAATTGGTATACCGCGTTCATGCGCTCAGTGTGGATCAGGTGGACGGCCTCCAACGCCAGTCTCCCATGGCCAATCGTCAGCAGCCAGCCGAACTCGATCCCGTCGTCAGGGAACTTCCGTGCTAGCGCATCGAGAATTTGGAGGTACTGAGAGATCACCTCTGGTGATTTGAAGTCAACTTTGCTGTCAGAAAATTCCGCCACCACGTCACGGGTCGCTGTCACTGTCTGTAAATCGGATGCAAATAGTGATGACGGCTGGAAATAGTCCTTGTCAATCACATGTCGTAACCCCGCTCCCAAATCAATGGCAGCGGTGTGCTTAAGTGGCACCTGAATGAGGTTGGTGGACATAAAGTGAGTGGCTACAAATGTCCTGCAGATAACTTATAGTGCCACCATAAAGTTCGAAGTATAGTTTGATAAAATACATAACTAATAACCAACTGGGTTGATCTTTTGCTTAATAAACTCGTGAATGCGATCCCAATATTGGTCTTGTATCACAGTGTCATTGTGATTTGAATCCGCATATTCGTAGAAGGTCTTATCTGTCAGCGGCATCAATTGGAATAACGTGTCCATATGTTCCGGGGGAACGATCTCATCTTTCCGAGCCAGATGCATCAACACGGGAACATCGGGCAATGTGGGAACAAGCAATTCCAGCTCCCACTTGTCCTTCACCAACGACGTCACGTACTTGAGGAAAGGGAAAATGTGGGGCACCGTCTTGCGAAGCAGCAAAAACGTGTTCTCAAGAATGATCCCCAGAATGTAATTCAGCCACTTCAGAGCAATATATATGGCAACTGCTCCTCCAAGAGACCGGCCATACAAAATGAGCAGCGACGCAGCAATTTGCTCATTTTCGGAAGTGAGGTACTTCATCACCCGATTAGCGTCAAGCTTAAGCCCAGCCTCCAGGGCCGAGCCTGTCAGTTTACCGTAGCCACGATAAGAGTAGATGAATGTGTTATAGCCAAAATCCTCGTAAAATAGCCGAACAATGGGGAGGGCGTGGCCAATGTTACCAGCATTGGGACACAAAATCACCACGGTTTTGTTGGTATAATTAGGGCTTGACGGGTCGTGGAGAACCAGGTAACATTGGAGGATTTCTCCGTCCTCGGTTTTGAGACTGACCAACTCATAGTCATTCATCCCATACTCATCAGGCGTAGCACAGTGGCCGTGGCCATCGTTCAACGACGCGGGATAGATGAGCGACCGCTGGTAATAGTAAAGCCCGACCATCACTAGAGCCCCGACCAGTAACCCAAGTTGGGTGACGGTCTTGGCGATCCGGAAAATCGTCGCCACAAAGCCTGCGGAGAGCATACGCAAAGGGTCAGTCGTTTATCAACAATTGATCACGGTGCGCAGTGTCCCCACGACCGGTAGCAACAACGAGGCAGAGTGAAAAATCACGAAATGACGATTAAAAGCGTGGATCGACTAAAATAACACTGGAGCATTCAAGCTAGCTGGTTTTGAGACGTCTTAAGCGCGGAAATAAGCAAAAAAGGTGTTTGTAATTGAATCCTACAACTATCCTACGCCTTCAATCTTGCGAATTGGTTCTATAGTGTAGTGGTTATCACTTTCGGTTTTGATCCGAACAACCCCGGTTCGAATCCGGGTAGGACCTTGTTTTTGCCCTTTCTCTACCACGATACCAACTTTTTCACCACTGTAAATTATCGATGAACCCCCATACTTCATGATGAAGAGATTATTTTTCGTGGCATCTGTAAAATCCACTGTTAGTGCCTAAATTCTCACTATTCAACTGATGCCATCAACGCGCACCCCCACACCATGCTGAACCTGACGTTGGCGAAATATGCGTTCAACATCTACGGCAATCTACATCCAAACGATCAGCTGCTGTCAGGGGGGCTGATCAAACTGCAGCTTGATCTGCTCATTTATAATTGCGACCGAGAAGTGGCCAGTTTGTCTCAATTCGCCCTACACCGCTACGCTGATGGTGGTGACGCCGTCGTGCTAGGAGGGAAGAATTGCCTCAAATTATTGATCACAAATGAGGATCAACTGAAGATTACCCAGGAGGTCAATTTGCTTGACCAAACCCCACAGACTCGAGGAGCTAACAAAGTGAGCATCATTAACACCGTCAAGGCATTTGGCGATACTATAGCCTGTGGTCACGCCAACGGCGTTGTCAGTGTGAGAAAAGTGACACCTCTGGGCAAAGCAAAACTTGTTTCAAGATACAATGACCACAAGCGGACCATCAATTCGCTCGACTACATTGGTGACGAGAACAACCCATCACATTTAATCCTGGGACTGCAGGACGGGCTGATCAAACTTTGGGATCTTCGCCTGCTGCTGACAAAGCCCCTGCTTTCCATTGTCCTGAGTTCGCATCTGGACCCAGTACGGCTGTGTCAACATCTGCCTCATGGTGGCATTCGAAACAAAGTTGTTATCCTTTCAGTGCACGACCTGGGAGCATTGTGCAAGTTCGATATCAGGGCCCAGGGGGGTATAATCAGTGGGGGACACTCGATTGGACCTGAACGGCGGTGGAATCTCCACACTGGTCCGGCACTTTCTCTCCATGTTCATCCTCATCGTGAGTACGTCATCACCGGTGGACGCGATCAAAAAATGTGCGTGTGGAACTACAGTGACGCTGCTCTGGTGACACTGAACCGTCACTTGTCCCTGGATTACATTGTAAACACCTGGGGTCCAGTGATGAAGGTACGATGGTGCCAATACCCGAGTGACAACCGGATGCGTGAAGACGACGCTGATGAATACTTTTCATCATCGTTATACAACTACGACTTTGCCTGCTCCTATCTTAATGATGATCTGACGATCCTGGTATTCAACCTCAACCGCAAATTCATTCCCAAAGAAGTCATCACTACAACTACGGGTAAACCCGTTCAAAATTTCATTTGGTCCCTGAATCCATCACATCAACGACGCGTATGGCTTGTTACCAAAGCCAACGAGTTTATAAGTACAACGCTTGACCATCTGGCTCCTGAAGTATCACTGCCATTGACCGAACTTACCCTGATGCTGATGGACTTTGATCCTGTAGGGGATATGGCATTTGTCAATCAAGAGAAGTACGAATTTGAGTTGGAAGATTACGATGTGGACGATGTGGACACCATGGGGGGTGAAACCAAATCACTAGACAATATGTCCATGAATCACCCGGTGCCAATCAAAGCAGCCGCTCTGACTAACCTGTTCAACGTATTCAGCTCATCCATCACTCCTCTGCCCGTGGAGAAGCCACCATTGCTTCGGAGCTGTACGACAGTGGGTAAAACTCCTTCACCAGGTCCCTTCCGTCGTGGCAGTGGACACGGTTTCACACGACCCAAACTCAGCCGAAACCCACTGCAACTGACAGTGGACCTGGGATCACTGGCAGGGCTGCCAGCAGTACACCCACCAATGATTTCCTCAAAGCCGCATAATCAGCACCGCAAATTCATCGGGGCTAGCTACCAGCTGCCATACGTGATCCCACTTCGTCTACCGCTCCCATTGAATGACAATGATGTTTTCAGTCATTTAGCCACAAACTATTTGCTTGCGCCCCCTGATGGCTTTTCATTACTTGATGCTTGTCAAATTAATGCCTCCATTGCAGTGAGTGTCAACCAGTATCGGGAAACGCAAATGTGGCGTATTCTCGCCGTGTCACTTGAAGATGAGCAGTTTCCGCATGGCGGCGGAGTGGTAGCTACTTATGATCCAATGCCAAAACCTCAAGAACCGGCTAGCGTTGTTGGCTCCTACCACAGCAACCTGACAACTAATACTAACTATGGTGGACTGGCCATTGCCACTGATCACATCACTCTGCTGGAGTCGCTTGCGAGACCTCAACCACTGTCTCCCTATAAACATCCCGGTCGTCCCAGTTTTCTCACTCAAGCCAGCTCCAGCCCCGGCGCGGCTGCAAAGTGGCACCCTAAGCGATTCACCTTGGATGAGGAAACTATTGAGGACGGAGATGCCCCAATAATGCGGTTACGTCAAGGGATAATGTCAAGCACTGAACTTGAAGATAGCCATCAGCTTACACCTCCACCTCAACAGCCCGAACGACGCCTGTTCTCCCATCAAAGACGACCTTTACTTCGTCATCTTACCACTGATGATTTTGATAATGAAAACGTCGCCTTCAACCACAGCCTCCACGCACACCCTCCAGCAAGTCTGTTACCTCGCACCAGTCCCAGAGGTTTCATGCCTCATTTCCCGTTGCCGATGAGCAACGTCCATTCAGGATCACTGCCTCATCGGTACAGTGAGCATCTGCGCGAGCTGTGGTGGGCGCTGCTGAGACGCAATTCTCAACTCACGGCTCCCTTGCACCGTTCCAACCTGAACCATCATTCGCTCGATTTCATTCCTCGTCCCGGGTTAGCTGAAGTGGAGGAAGAATTGAAGAGTCACCCAAGCACGGCCTTACTCACCAATATGACTCTGGAGCTCACCAAAGCTATGCGCAATCTGAGTATGATCAGTCCTCCGTGGGAAACAGCGACATTGATCAGAAAGGAAGTAGAGTACTGTCAGCTTCTGGGGGACATTGTCACCTTGGCAACGTTGGTGATATTGTTCTATGCTAAATACCCCAAGACTTTCTCCAAAGATGAAGCCACGAAGATCATCATGATGTATATCGAGAATCTCCAACGTCGCCAGCTTTTTGTGGAAGCTACTCAGGTGATCAAATCAACACCCCCCGAACTTGTCGGAGCGATAATGAAGAAGATGCCTCAAGATGTCAACCTCAGATTTTTCTGTGAACATTGCGGTAGAGTGATGGTAAATGAGCTGCTGAAGCAACGATTCAAGGAAAACAAACTGAAAGAGTTTGGTTTTTGGTACTGTGACGAATGTCGCCGCAATCAACTGAATTGCATCTATTGTTGCAAGCCTTGTAAAGGGTTATCAGTGGTGGTGTCGCTTCAGTGTGGTCACCGGGGTCACTTTAAGTGCCTAAAGGAATGGTTTGTTGCTGGCGACAATGCCGAATGCCCTGGTGGTTGTAACTTTAGGATAGTGTGAGTAGTGATGGCTACATAGTCTGAAAAGAGTCCATAGCAAGAGGAATAGACATTTACGCGTATCAAATTGGATTGAATTTAAGGATACTAATGTGAGCCATTGTTTGACGTTCTATTTTTGGAGTCACATTTTTTGTGGGGGTGTCTTCCAGATCTAGACATACTCTTCGCACCATCACAAGTGCATGCTCGCGGTGGATGACAATTCTCACCATGCGCCATAGGGAAGTTCAAAGCTGCTATAAATAAAACGATTTAAGGCTTGATTGCAGATGATGACATGTTAATTTTCCACCGTCATCACCATCAGTAGTTGCACTTTGAGAACCTTCTCACGACTACCATTTCACTTTTTGCGCGTAAAATTTTCACCCCAGTCTGACTCACCTTGCGAGACGAGTTGTATGGTATTTAAGCTTGCACGTAGCTTATTCCCACAACATCGACGAGTGATCAGGTATTTGAATATGAGTAGTGACCAAGCTGCCCCTGCCGCCGCCACCCCGCAACTCGAACCGGGGATGGTGATGGGTGCCGATGGCGTACCCCGCCAAAAGACCCCCAAGGAATTGGAAAAGGAACGGAAAAAGGCCGAAAAGCTCGCCAAGTTCGAAGCCAAGAAGAAGGCTCAAGAGGAAGCGGCTAAGAACGCTGCTCCTAAGAAGCCCAAGAAGGAAAAGAAGGTCGCCGAACCCGTACCCCAATGGGAAGACAAGACCCCTGCGGGTGAAAAGAAGATCTTGGCTTCGCTTGAAGACCCTGCGTTCAAGGCTTACGTCCCCGCTAACGTGGAACTGTCGTGGTACGCGTGGTGGGACAAGCAAGGGTTCTTCAAGCCCGAATTGGTTGGTGGTAAGGTCAAGCCTGAAGGCGCCTTCTCCATCCCTGCCCCTCCTCCTAATGTTACTGGTGCTTTGCACATTGGACATGCCCTTACCATTGCCATCCAAGACTCGCTTATTCGTTTCTACCGGATGAAGGGGTTGACCACCTTGTGGTTGCCTGGTTTCGACCACGCCGGTATTGCCACTCAATCGGTGGTGGAAAAGCAAGTGTGGGCCAAGGAAAAGAAGACCAGACACGACTACGGTCGGGAAAAGTTCATTGACAAGGTCTGGGAATGGAAGGAAGAGTACCACAACCGGATCTCGGGTCAAGTGAAGAAGCTCGGTGCTTCCTACGACTGGTCGAGAGAAGCTTTCACTCTTGACCCTCAGCTTTCCAAGGCCGTCACTGAAGCCTTCGTCAGAATGCACGAAGATGGTACCATTTACCGGGCTCTGAGATTGGTGAACTGGTCGGTGAAGCTCAACACTGCCATCTCCAACTTGGAAGTGGAAAACAAGACCATCCCCGGTAAGACTCTCGTGGCTGTCCCCGGTTACGATGAAAAGGTTGAATTCGGTGTGCTTACTTCGTTCTCGTACCCCGTGGAAGGTCTGGATGAAAAGATCACCGTGGCCACCACTCGTCCCGAAACTATGTTCGGTGACACTGGTGTTGCTGTGCACCCCGAAGACCCCCGTTACAAGCACTTGCACGGCAAGTTCGTGTTGCACCCTTTCTTGGACCGTAAAATCCCCATTGTCACTGATGCTGAAGCCGTTGACATGGACTTCGGTACTGGTGCCGTGAAGATCACTCCTGCCCATGACCAAAACGATTACAACACCGGTAAGCGTAACAACTTGGAGTTCATCAACATTTACACCGATGACGGGTTGTTGAACGAAGCTTGTGGCCCCGAATGGGCTGGCATGAAGCGTTTCGATGCTAGAACTAAGGTGATCGAAGCCCTCAAGGAAAAGGGTTTGTTTGAAGGCCAAGAAGACAACGAAATGACCTTGCCCACTTGCTCGAGACTGGGTGACATCATCGAACCTTTGCTTAAGCCTCAATGGTGGGTTAACCAACAAGAAATGGCTAAGGATGCCATCAAGTTGGTTAAGGATGGCAAGATTAAGATCTCTCCCGCCACTTCCGAAGCTGACTACTTCCAATGGTTGGAAAACATTCAGGACTGGTGTATTTCTCGTCAATTGTGGTGGGGTCACCGTTGTCCCGTCTACTTCGTCCACATTGAAGGCCAAGAAGCCGACAAGTTGGACAACAACTACTGGGTTGCTGGTCGTAACCAGGAAGAAGCCGAAGCCAAGGCCAAGGCTAAGTTCGGTGACGCTAAGTTCACTTTGGAACAAGATGAAGACGTGTTGGACACTTGGTTCTCGTCTGGTTTGTGGCCCATCTCCACTTTGGGATGGCCCGAAAAGACCCCCGACATGGAGACTTTCGCTCCTTTCTCGATGTTGGAAACCGGGTGGGACATTTTGTTCTTCTGGGTGACGAGAATGATCTTGATGTGTCACAAGTTGACCGGCGAGGTTCCCTTCAAGGAAGTGTTCTGTCACTCGCTTGTGAGAGACGCTCAAGGGCGGAAGATGTCGAAGTCGTTGGGTAACGTCATCGACCCCTTGGATGTCATCACCGGTATCCCCTTGCAAGGGTTGCACGACAAGCTTAAGGTGGGTAACTTGGACCCTCGCGAGCTCAAGAAGGCTATGGAAGGTCAAAAGCAATCGTACCCTAACGGCATCCCCGAATGTGGTACCGACGCCTTGCGTTTCGCTCTCTGCGCTTACTCTACCGGTTTGAGAGACATCAACTTGGACATTTTGCGGGTTGAAGGTTACAGAAAATTCTGTAACAAGATCTACCAAGCTACTAAGTTTGTCCTCGGTAAGCTTGGCGATGACTACAAGCCTCCCGCCACTGCGGCCTTGACCGGCAAGGAATCGTTGGTTGAACAATGGATCTTGTACAAGTTGACTCATGCTGCTAAGGCTGCCAACGACCACATGGAAGCTCGTGAATTTGGTGATGCCACCAAGGTCATCTACCAGTTCTGGTACGACTTGTGTGACGTCTACATCGAAAACTCGAAGGCGCTTATGGAAGGTCTGCCCGAACAAAAGGCGTCAGCCCAAGCCACTCTTTACACCTGTATCGACTCGGCCTTGCGGTTGATCCACCCGTTCATGCCTTTCGTTACTGAAGAAATGTGGCAGAGATTGCCTCGTCGTCAAGGCGACGACACCCCCTCGATCGTGGTGGCTAAGTACCCCCAATACGTCAAGGAATACGACAACGCCGAAGCTGCTACCCACTATGAATTCGTGTTGGACGTTGCCAAGGGTATTAGATCGTTGTTGGCCCAATACAACATCATCAAGAATGGCCAAGCTTTTGTGGAAACTGCCGACGCTGGCCAATACGATGTGGCAAACGCTCAAGTCGACTCGATCGCTGCTCTCATCAAGGGTGTGGAAAAGATCACCGTGGTGAAGCAGGCTTCGGATGTGCCCCTGGGTTGCGCGGTGTTGTCGGTGTCGCCCTCTTGTAACGTTCACGTGTTGGTGAAGGGTCAAATCGACATCGACGCCGAAATCACCAAGGTGCAAAAGAAGTTGCAATCGGCTGAAGAAGCCATTGGCAAGACTAAGGATGCCATGGCTAAGTTCAACGACAAGACCCCGCAAGCGGCCAAGGACGCTTCCGCTACGAGAATGGAGAAGTTGACCGCCGAAGTCGAAGGTTACAACCAAACTGTCGCCATCTTGGAAAAGCTTAAGTTGTAGATAGTATAATATAAACGATGCGTATCACTTTAATTTGATGGTTTGGCCAACAATACATGCATCATCAGCAAGCGTTTCTGTACGTCTACGAACGTCAATGCATAATAACGGGATTTTTTTCAGTGACGTATAATTGTTCGATACTTTTGCCACAAAAGCGAAGCCACCTGAACAAATTTACGGGTAAAATATTATAAAGTAGCTCCCGTGTTCATAGTGTGGCAAATTTCATTGGATATCGAAAAGGAGTGGAAGTAGAATAAGAAGTAACAGGGGCTGCGCCTCCACACCTCATTGTCTTATATCGTCCAAATTCCGCGAATCAGGAGACCAGACCTTCTCCGCATTACCGTAAGCAAGGGCAACGCGGCTTCGATTGTGGACGACGATTTTGTCTAGAAGGATACAAATACGACCACAATCGATTGCAATACAGAGAGGAAAGTAACTTATATTTTTGTCTTGGGTCAGTGAATTGAACCCTATGAATTCCACATGCATTGACGCGATAATGTTACCATGCAACTCAGTTACCTCCTTCCGCAACAATGGAATTTCAGGTAGTTGAGGTATAAATAGCGGCAGCTGCCCGTTGAGTGTGTAATTTCCACATCAATTGACAAGTACAAATGGGTTTCGACGATTTGGTTAAGCAAGGTGAAGCTTTCTACAAGGGCCAAGACGGCAAGGTTGACACTTCCAAGTTGAAGGAAGACGCCACTGACGCCTACAACGTGTACTCGCTGAAAACTGGTACCACCCAAGACAAGGCCAAGCAAATCTACTCTGAAATCCAGAACAACCACAACACCTCGGGTGGTAAGAAGGAAGAATCCAAGACCGAAAGCAAGTAGGTGTAACGATACAATTATAAATATACAACTCAATACTCCAATAATACCAGTTCAAGTACGTCAGGGTACCACCGCTTAGCGACATCCTGATGACTCTTAATACGGTTTTTGAACACTGCTTCCCCTACAGGCTGTTTCAGCACGTCGGGACGGAACTGGAACCCGGTGTCGTACCCCCATACCGCATGCTGGCGGTCGCGTTCGATGATTTGATCGGTGACGTCATTGGGAATATTCTCCACCGCTACTTTGTAGGCATCTAGATTGATCGTCAGGAAAAACGGAATCAGAATACGGGTGCCAGTACCGGGTTTCGGAGTAATCACTCTGTGGATGGTAGCTTTGCACACGCCATTAGTGATGGTCTCAATCGTTTGACCGGTATTGACCACTAATGCGTTCTCAACGTAGGGGATTGAAATCCATTCACCCTGATAATTTTGCACTTCAAGCGAGTTCAGGTGGGGTGTTGCCTGATAAATATACGTCATAAAGTCCAGATCACGGTGAGGGCCACAGCCTTGCCCGCCAGGGGTGTCTTCCATTGCCACTGCTGATTTTCCAACTAGTTCGGCTTGGTCAGGGTAGGCGATAAGCTTCATTTTGCATTGTTGATTTTCCTTAAAGAACTTGTCGAAACCATCAGGGGGAAGGCCAATAGCCTCAGCGACTAAATGACGAAATGTATCCGCAAGCTGAGTCATTTTGGCAATATGATTCTCCACCACTGGACGGAATAGGGGGACGTATTTGGCGTCAGGCCATAAGTTAGGCCCTTCAATATTTTTGTAAAGCGGTTCACCTGGTTTCGGAGGATCAAGTTCAGTGGCAAGATCAATCTGTTCCCGCCAGTCAGCGTGTTTGGCGGTGATCTCGTTACTCAAACGGGAATATCCGAGAAAATGCTTCGAATGGATCATCTCACAATCCAACTTGACTTGTTCGGGCAAGGCAAAGAATTTTTCTGCTTCGGCTTTGATGTCGTCAAACTCTTTTCGTGATGGACCCACTCCAGCTTCACTGGTGCCTATCAAGAGGAGGAACCCGACTTGGATAAGAGCATACTGAAGCTTATTGAGGAATTGTGCTTTAGTATCGGGATTGAATGCATCCCGAAGATCGAGAACCGGGATATGCTGAAACGACATGTGTTAATTATATGGGTCACCACATTTTGTTTGATCTCTGTAAAGATATGGTACGAGGGGGTGGAGCTCACGTGAGCTAGCGTAACGCACCCCACATAAGATCGACCATTTTCGTAAGCAGAGTCGCCACAGTCAGTGTGACGTTATCACCGGCCCGAGACCAAATTGTCTATCAAATCTGGGAGCGTTTCAAATCAAAATTATAGGGAAGAATAGCTTAGGTAAGGATTTCAGTTTTGTGTCACCTACACGCTCAAGTAGGTAATCAGTCACAGTTCACCAAGTACTAATTTGTAACCAATGGTTTGAAGCAATCATCACTTGTATCGTCTCTTACAATTGTATCTTGAAGAGTGTTATTCGCAATTACCATATTCTCTAATATTGTACTGTGGTATATCACTGATCAGCCCGTACCAGCCGCAGGGATTTTTACCCGCACAATCGCAACCGAAAGTCCTACACCTCCACGCTCAAGCTGGACGCTTTCAACATTTTTTCCATAGTCACCAATGAAGTTTTTACGCTTGGTGTCGATTGCCACGGCAGTTGTGGCACTACAGATTCCCTTGCGGCTCAAAACCCTGCCCGCTAATAAGGCAGTGTTTGCCGACGACCCTCTCGCTACGGAGTCGTCTAAAGTCCATTACCTGAAAGTGGACCCTAGCCTATGGCCAGTGGACCTCAACCAGTACCAGGGTGTGGTTATTCGAGGTGATCTACTGTCAGTGCCGCTGCTGGCCTTGCGAGAGGCTCTTCAAGAGATTGAGAACAGTATCTGGAGCAAAAATAACATTGAGAATACCGCCGACATCCAAATCAGCTACGAAAATCTTGTTAAGCTTTTGGAAAAGGTACCCCAATTCAAATACTCGGTAATGATCGACGACTTGGCCCAAAAGGTGTATGAGTCGTATCCTCACCATGAAGCTGAAGCCGCGAGCGAGGATGAAGTCATTGCGAACCTGGAGATTTTCTTTAAAGAGTACCGCTCGTTAGATACTATTTATTCGTGGTTGGACATGTTACAGCAAACGTATCCTGAAGTGCTTGCTGTGGAAGACATCGGTGAGACCTATGAGGGGCGCCCCATTCGTGTCGTTCATTTCAGTGTCAACAAAGAAGGTATCGACCACAGCCAGAAAAAGTCTATCGTGGTTACTGGTGGCACCCATGCCCGCGAATGGATTTCGGTGTCTTCGACATTGTTTTTATTGTACAAGCTCTTGAATCACTACGAATACGACCCAACAGGCGACGTGGTGACCAAACTCAACATTTTATTTGTCGTGGTGGAAAATCCCGATGGTTACGAGTACACTTGGAACCACGATCGCTTGTGGCGGAAAAACCGTCAAAAGACTAAGAAAGAGGGCTGTTTTGGGATTGACATCGACCACTCGTACGACTACCACTGGACGAAGCTGACCGACTGGGAATGTGGTGAAGAATACTCGGGTGAGTACCCATTTGAAGCGTATGAGCTGAAGATCTGGAACAAGTATCTTAATGCCACCAATGAGCAACACAAGATCTATGGCTATATTGACTTGCACCTGTACTCTCAGGAAGTGTTGTATCCTTATGCCTACTCTTGCAACGAACAACCTCGCGATGAGGAGAACTTGGTGGAGCTTGCCTATGGTATTGCTAAAGCCGTTAGAATTGAGTCGGGCCAGGCGTACAATGTGTTACCCGCCTGTATCGACAAGGACCTGGACATGCTTCCCGACATGGGGTCGGGGCTGGCGTTGGACTACATGTACCACAGCAACGCCTACTGGGCGTACCAACTCAAGCTCCGCGACACCGGTCTGCACGGGTTTTTGCTTCCCAGTCAATATATCGTCCCCGTGGGCATGGAGATCTACGCCGGGCTCAAGTACTTTGTCAGATTTGTCGTTGACGACGATCGCTAAGCTATAGTTAATATCACAATTACAGACACTGATCCGATACCGGCGTCGGCAATTGCCGCGGGGTCGCCGTGCGCGCGCGCCGTTCCCCAGTTTAGCGGCATCAACGGCGACGGAAAACCTGCTCCACAGTAAAATGAGAGTGGTTATTCAGAAGGTCAAGCTGGCCTCGGTCACCGTCGACGGCAATATCATCTCTCTGTAAGTAACCGACAAATACGTGATGATTATTTCTTTTTATTTTGGTATACGAAGACTAACGCACACAGGATTGGCAAGGGGCTCATGCTTCTTGTGGGCATCACTCAGGGCGACACCGCCGACGATGTCGCCAAGTTGCTGAAGAAGATTCTCTCGCTCCGTATCTTCGAGGACTTGAGCAACCCTCCTGAAACCAAGACCGCCTGGCACGGGAAGCCGTGGGCGAAACTGGTGAGCGACATCTCCGGGGAAATCCTCTCAGTATCGCAGTTCACTCTTTACGGCACCGTGAAAAAGGGCACCAAGCCTGATTTCCACAAGGCGCTTAAAGGAGAGGAAGCCATCCACTTGTACAACGACTTTTTGGCGGCGCTTCGCCAAGGTTTAGGTGACGACAAGGTGAAGGACGGCGAGTTTGGCGCCATGATGGACGTCGCTCTCGTCAACGACGGGCCGGTGACGCTCGTGTGGGACACTAAAGAGTGAGGGGTATCCTTTTTGTTAAACCGTAAAAAAACCGTATAGACCTATAGAACTTCAATAAACGTCAGCGCCACCAATAGCAGGCCGACCACCACCAGCCATGCCATCGGCATGTTATCATGGTAAGCGAACCGCTCCACCGGATCACCACTGATCTCCGTGAACACCCTCCGGGGCTCCACGGGGGCCGACCACCACCACAGGCGGCCTCGCGGCAACGACGGCACCACCGCCATGCGGAGGCAGCACACCACCATGAACACCGTCGCTGCCGCCATCACCGAGCGTTTAGCTGGGGTCACTTCTCCAAGGACTCCCATAGCTCTTGATTTGGAGGGGGGAGCGAGTCGCGGAAAGTTAGTTGTATGTGAAATAAGGTGAATGGTTGACAAACCGATCGCGAATGCTTTTCCAACCTCAGACTATCTGCAGCGCCAGCGCCCAAAAGATAGCTCGTATAATTTTCAAAACTTGACCCACGGAAAAATTAGAACTGTTGGAGGAGATGAATCAGTTTGATATCGCCAACAAAGCACTTTTGGCTTTCGATGTGGGGGTGGCTTAAAAAAAAAAACGCTGGTCCGGCACAGCGTGTTCTCTAATTAAAAAAACAGTACGACGTGTTTGTGACAAGAGCTCGCGATCGGGCCGAGTATTTACATCGCGACACGGAAAAAAGGGGTAGTTCTTTTTTCTCTGATACCCACGGGGCGGCTCCAGAGAGGGCTCGCAGTCGCACCCCCTCCCATGACCGCGTCTCCTCGAGACGACGGTGCGGAGTCGGCGTTGTTGCGTCTTCCCGACGATGTGTGGCGGGTGGTATTTAATCTCCTCGACGCTGGCGACGTCGTCAACCTAGCCAGCACCAGCAAGTGGATACGGAGCTGGCTCACCCCCTCGGTGTTTTGCCGCGCCAAGTGTACCTGGGAGATGGCTAAACACCGCCCGCCTCACCCGGAGATCATCAGCCAGCTCCGCATTACCAACCATCTGCTGTACTCGGAGTGGAGCGTCGACGTATTTCCTCGCCTCCGCACCTACCCCAAACTACAACACTTGCTTATCAATACCATCGACCTGGCGTCGTGGCTACGTTACCGTCGGTTCCCCCACTTGGCTCGACTCACTCTCTACCATCTGCTGCCGGCCAAGAAGCCGCGGTTCTTTGATCTAAACTCGCTTAATGACTTCGTCTGCTTGACGTTCCTTGAAATCCACGATTATCATTTTTTGTGGAGCAGGGAAGCGGTACCCGTGGTAAATCTAGTCGAGGTGGTGTTGGTGGGGTGTTCGTGGGAATTCCCATTTCGACTATCTCAATTTAACCCTGGTCAATTCCTCGAACGGCTCAGTCTTAGTTACCAGGCTAACGACACCTTCGTCAATTCGCAGCTATTGATGGAGTTCCTCACTAAACCCGATGCCGAAATGGATAGTCTCCGCCGACTAGAAGTGGCTTGTCCTCGGTCGCTATCGCCGTCGACGTTCAATCGCCTCACGCATAACTTTACTCATCTACACCAACTAAAGCTTACGAAATGGTCGGTCACCACCCCGAAATTTGTCGCCCTCTACCTTAATCGAGCTAGTCTTGGCAAACTCACTCATTTGACGGTGGAGATCCCCGATGCTGAAGTCGCCGCTGATATCGAGGACCAAGTGCATCGGGAATTTGGTGGCCTTTACTTCTTCACGTCGGCATAGGTTTCTTATAAAATGAGCGCATCCTTCGGTGCGGCTCTTCTGTAATTATAATATATCACACACAGTAAACCAGGTTAGTACACGCACGCACTTGCACCAACCAACAATGAACCTCATAGTGGTGTGGTGGACGCTATTAGCTTTGGTCGCGGCCAATACTGAAACCATTGTGTTTCGGGTTCCCTATTACTACGACATCCCACCACCTACAACGCGCCAGGGACAAACTACCAATGCCACACATACAGTGATCCATCACTACCCCATCGACACCCTCAGTAATCAGGCTGACTCCCATCGGATAGCACTCAATCCCGGGACGACGTGGGTGCAAATCAACAATTACGACGGGGTGTTCGAGGCCAACGATGTCATCAATGTCAAGTTCTGCTGGCCCGCCACCAACCCGTACCACGTCAAGCTCGACCATGTATTCTCTCTGGAGTTCACCGACACTCCGGGTCGGGTCGACCTTTTCGTTGCGATAACCCTTACCCCTGAGGGCCAATCAGCCCGCCAGCTTCCGCCACAACCCCTCACTGCCGACTTTTACATTGCCAAGCTCCCGCTGGCACGAATCCCGATCCCCGTTGAACTATACCCGTTGATTCCGTATCTTGTGGCGGTGGCGGTGACCGCGGGGGCAGCGGTGCCGTTTGTGTATCGGTGGATGTTTAGCACACCCCCAAAATAGCTTATTGGTGCCTGTCAGCCACTTACATTTGGCCAGGGGCTCGGCACCGCCTGTCTCGTAGCCACGGTTCAGCCCCATGTGCGGTGAAAGCTAGGGACCCTGGTCATGTCGCGACGCACTGACGGTTCGAGCCGGGCAGTGCAGCGTGACCTTTAGACCGCCACTAAACACTCATCGGGTCCACATGTGAGACGAGGCACCAGCGGCATCACAACCCAATGAGTTAAAGAGGTCTATTTCTAGTTTAAACTACCACAATTAACTACTCATCAAATCCTTAAACATGACTCACACCAAGCAGAAATCTTTTTTCCTCACCCAGTTTCCCCTCATGATTAGCGCACTTGCCGCTGTCTTGCTATCGGGAGCGCAGTCGTGCCTGCATAGAGGCTCCATATCCTAGTGGTGAAATCTTCCCCTCGGACTGCACGCCCTTTTGGCCCCCCATAGCATGTCTCTCCCCGACGACGACCCATTGGCCGCTCCCAGAAATGAAGCCGGCTTGGACTTATCAAAGTTGAGTCCGCAAGAGCTCCGGATCTACAAAATGTACGGCAAGTTGCCCACGACGCAGCAGATTTTGTCGTCGAAATTCAATGACAAGAAGTACTTTGACAGTGGCGACTACGCCATGCAAAAACAACTCGGGGACGATGCTGCTCGCAAAACCGGCTTTACCGGGGGCGTGCTGATGAAGCACCCCAACGCCGAGAAGGTCAAGGAGATGGCCACCCGCAACTCGATCTCTGCCACCAACGCTGGCATTCTTTACAACGGCAAGCTGGGATTGTTGAATGAACTGACACCTAAAGAGGAATAGTGTTCTTGCCAAGCTAACACGTATTCCTCATCTGCACCATCATTCATTTCCCATCTATGGCCCCACCCCATATTTTCATAGTTTGACTATAGTTGAATTTTATTATCTCTTCGTGCGCGCCTGTAGGCAACTACTGAAGCTACTCAGTACTTCTCTCAAACCCTGGATTTGATGGACATTCTTGATGCTGTCGAGCCCTGTATTGATCGACTACTGTATCGTGGCGCTCACATCCCCATAATACACCACTATGTGAGTTCATACCGCTACTATCGCCTACAATTGACTGCAACCGTCGAGATCGAGATCGCTCTTGCCGTCCACACCATCTACCAGGTGCCAATGTGCTACTTTCGGGTGATCAAATCTGGTCGGACGGTGTTTAACCTCGACGAGATTGCCTCACTCGTTTCAGCTGACTCTAGTTTACCGCCATTGGTAATCGATGATAGTTTGGGTTCTCCATGGTTAACTGTTCATCCATGCGACACACAATCGTATATGGAGGAGCATCGGCGGGATCCGATGGTGTGGTTCACCACCTACGGGCTTCCCGGGGTGTTTACAACGATAAAAGTATCCTTATAATAGTTTCATTAAATGCTAGTCTATGCCGCGCCTACTGCTTGGAAGAAGCGAAGATTCTGCAGGGGTAGTCTTCGTTGTACATACCGTGTTCGGCTTCAGGCAAAATCTTCCAGGTGAACTTGTTCAACGAAGGGGGCACAATGGGCTGGCCCTGCTCGCCCAAGATTTCACCACGAACAACGTTGGCGGGGACGTTGGTCAAGGTGGTGGCCAACGACACAGGCTTCGCCGGGTCCAAGAACACCGACAATTCCTTAGTACCTTTGTCACCAATGGAGATTCTCGGCTGGGCCGCGGACCCCACTTGCAAAAGACCCGACACATAGGTTTGGTCGAACGACTTCAACTGGGGGTAGTTTCTTCTGTGGTCTCTCTTGAAGTAAGGGTTGTTCTTGATGTCGGTGCCGGGAACGCTGACGGGTTCCGAATATTCTTCAGCTTCCTTAATCCGGGCACCAGGGGGAACCGAACGGTAGAGCTTGACGATGGGGTTACCCAGGGATCTGTTGGGGACAAGCACAAGGAGCTGTCTCAACTTCTCCCAGATCCCCCTCGACTGGGTGGTGTACTTCTTCCAGTAGGGAACAGGACCGCCAGACATATTGTGGGTGTTAGGTGGATGGGTTTTTTTAGTTGGCGCGCCTAATGGAAAATCAGCACGCCGTGATTGGTGCGAGCGTGCTCAATTAGGCAGAAAAAAAAGTGAGCTATAGGTACGACTAGATCCTAGACCCGATACTAATTCATCGAATTATAATGTAAAAATCGCCTACTGGAATAACGAGCGGCCAATCTTGCCAAAGATAATCGAGCCGCAAAAGAAAAACGACGCAATCCACAACCACAACGACACGGTGTCGTCAGGGTGCAACACTTCAAAGTTGGTGAGAAGAGAGGCATTATCCCAGTAGATCACCGCCAGCGCCGCCAGTACCACCGCCAACGCCGTCACTAGACCATTGAAGGTGCCGTCAAGCATTATCCACAATGCCGGGTTGATCAACGACCACATCATCGACACTTGTAACAATGACTTCCACTCTAAGTTACGCACGGCGTACGAAATACCCAAAAAGCAAATCGATGACCGAAGAACTTCGTTAATAACATCCTGCTTCCGATTGGGATTAGGGTTGGAAGTAAGAATCCGCGAGGAAAACAGTTTGGGGGTGATACGGTCGACAACCACCACTAACAACCCAAACAGAAGCCCCTGCACCACGACCAGGAAGATCTGATCGATGATCGCCAAGTCCTGGGGCAATTCCACGTAATGAGAAAGACTGAATTTCTGGATAAATGATAAAATGAACACATTGGCAAGTTTAAGCGTTTCCTTCACTTGTCTGTCAGTGAACAGATTACCATGGATATGGGCCACAACTTCATTGTAAACGTACGCCGACAACGCCAAAATTGCCACCTTAGTTATAATGGGCAACAGCTTCACCAGCGACTCCGGCTCCGGTGCTTCCGATTCCATCAACCGTGAATTGCGGCTAGGGGGCACGTTAATTTCGATTTGATCGTTTAACGACAAAAGCAGATCGTCGTTGTAAATACCGTAAAGCAGAGGTTTGGTTAAATTCATCACCGAGTCGCTCTTCAGCATATCCTCAGATACAGAACTACCATTCTGGGGCAGGGTCAATGCCTTCTTGCGGAGAGTGGCCATTATCGTCGTCGCACCCGCCGAGCCTAATCGGCAAATTCATCGTGCGGCGAGAGCATGACAGAGATTTCTCTGCCGAGGATAGTGGGAGCAGACTAGCAACAATTTGAAAAGGGGGAGCTCCGAATTTCTACTCTACGACCAAAATTTGAAATAGCACTATTACCAATTTAATAAATCGAATAAAGCATTACTTAGCCCGACCTGCATAGAAATGTCTGTTCGATTCTCAGCAGCGTTATTCTTTATCCACAACACCATCCCCTCAACAACGACGTCACTCTTCAACATCTCCCCATGAGTGACGAAGAGTACCAGCCTGAGGGCGCCGATGTTTATGAATCCGATCAATTTGATAACTCGTTTGGTCTGGATGACGCCGAAATGGATGAGTTTATTGACGCGTTCAAACGCGATGAAACAACACAGGTCGAAGTTCCTGAACCAATTGTGTTCTCTGATGATGAAGATGACCTGGGGGAAGAAGACGCCGACGAACACTATGATCTTCGTGAAGCTCTCCGTTCAGCAGCCAACTTCAGAACCAAGAAAAGTGCCCAAACGGCTTCCAAAAACTACTATCGCCGCAAAATGTTGAAGTCAGCAACCAAAGATCAATCCCCTGAAGTCATAGACGCCCTTTCAAAGGCTAATGACGCGTTTATTCGACAGGATTACTTGGTTGCTCAAGCAAAGTACCAAGAAGTGATCAGTCACGACTCGCAGAATTTCTTCGCATATAAAACCCTAGGGGAAATCTGCAAAATCCAGGGTCGCCTTGATCAATGCTGTAACTACTGGTTGATCGCCGCTCTGATTCATAACTGGGATACCTCGTTTTGGGGGGCTGTGGGTGAGCTCTCAGCTCAACTTGGTTATACTGATCAAGCTATTCATTGCTACTCGCGGGCTATCACTCTGGATACTGTGAAGCTGTCACGTTATATTCTTGATCGGTCAAATTTGTATCGTGAGATTGGCAGCTATGGTCGTGCTCTTGATGGGCTTAACAAAGTGCGTCAAGCTTTTCCACTGGACCCCGATGTGGTGAAGCAGATTGCTCTGATTTATTTGGAACAAAAGCGTCTCAATGATGCCATTAGTATGTATTGGGAAATTTTCAAGACTAACGTGCAAGCTGACCCTGATCTTCCTGCGCTGAAACGTCGGTTTGTGACATTCGGCTGGCCTGAACTCAACATTTTGCTCGAGCTTCATGAGAAGAAAGGCTCATGGCGTGATGGTATTGATGCCGTCAAGAAAGTAGTGAGATGGATGCAGGGTCGGATGAAGGAGACGTGGTGGGATGACACCGACGACGATGCCGAATTTGACCTTGATCGCCGGAGTAATGTTATCAACTCTCTGCGTATACTGCCTAAACAAAGGGAAGCTCTGTTGAAGGCCGATGCCAGTCTCTTTATCGATATTCGGTACCGTTTGGGGGTTTTCCGACTTGAACTCGGTCAGCATGAAGAGGCTTTACGTCATTTCTCGTATCTCTTCCGTGAAGATGAAGAAATTGATGATTTATTTCTTGAAGCGGGTAAAGCGTTGGAAAATCATGGCTTGTATGAAAGTGCGATTGAGTACCTTGTACGTGCCTGCCAAAATGAAGACATTCAAAATACTCACGAAGTTTACGTTTTGCTTGGTAAGTGCTTCCTTGAAATTAACGAATATGAAAATGCTCGAGAAGCCTATCAGAACGTGTTGGTGCTAGACCCTCATGAACCCGAGCATTACGTTATTATGATGGAGATCTTACTTTATCTTGATGAGCGTGACGAGGCCCTAAAGATCAATGACCAGCTTCGGGAACTCATTAAATCGCAAGATAATGTTGCCGAAGAGCAAAAGCAGCTCATCGAAGAAGGTCATGAAATAAATGAAGCTCTCATCAAGTCTCAACGGATTCTGCTCAAGCAGCGGAAACAGAGAATGAGCCCTGAGGAGCGGGAGTTCTTTGAGAAAGAAATGACGACCAAAGTGTTGAATCGGTACCAACGTATGGAAAAACTTAATGATTTGATTCTTGCTGGTGATCAGGTTGCGATCAAAACGTGGTGTGAGTACGCTCTGCGTCTTATTGACATGTTCACTCTGGTTAAAGAGTTTTTCCCTCGTGATAGAAATAAGGTGTTCCTGGGTATCCTCAAGTACCGCCGTCGTCGAGCGATGAAGCTTGACCAACGAATGCTGCGGTTGCAAAACTTAGTGGAAGACATGGAAATGCAATCAACACTGGAAGACGGCCAATCTAAGCCAGTAATTGGTAACAACTCCAAATTCAGAGGGTTGAAATTTGATCAATGGTTCGACATCTTCTGTCAGTACTCGTTGCTATTGGCAAAGTTCGAAAATGAGGTTGAACATGGGCAAGAGGTTATGGAACTTGCCATGCATATTGGAGCCTTCATTCAGGATAAAAGCAAGGAACTGTTCATGCATTTGGTACAACTCCACTTGGCACAAATACGTGGCGATTATACTGAAGTTTCCAAAGTGGTGCGGTATTTCCTCAATGCCAATCAGTTTTCGCCCTTCGTATACAAGTTTTTCACCAGTTGTTACGCTCTGGGAGTGAAGGCTTGGGATCTGTTCACCAGTTACAATCATCAAAAGTTCTTTTTGCGTCAGCTTAAGGCGTATGACTCGGTCATCACCGGGAAGAAGATTACCGGTATGGCGAACGTTGTCGCTCCCAATATTCAAGCCTACCGCGATAAGTTGGGTGATGATTTACCTGAATTGACTTACATGTATGGTAGTTTGCTCGGAGGTGCGCGGCTGTTTGCCCTGCCGATTGTGTACCTTTCGCGAGCATACAAACAATACAACCAAGACTACATGATATGCTTACAATTAGCAGTGACTCATGTTCATCGGCTGATGCAAAGACTCAGTAGCAACCGGCAAACCCAGTTGCTCCAAGGGATATCCTTTTTGATGGAGTACCGGCAACGGCGTCTTGAGAACGGCACTAATTACGAGAAGCAAGAAGTGGAGTACAATTTTGGGCGCATGTTCCACATGTTGGGTCTTCCCTCATTAGCAGCGGCGCACTACGAGAACGTGCTCAAATACGAGGTGGAGCTGCTGTACGATCTTTCCATCGAGGCCGCGTATAACCTCTCTCTCATATACCTGGTGAATGGCAACACGCAATTGGCTCGTGAGCTCACCAACAAGTACCTTACCGTTTGACGGGGTAAGGTGTTTACAGCCGCGTCGCTCCCGTTGTCAGTTTCGACGATATTCCGAAATGAGGGGTGAAAAATAACGCCGTGGGGGTCAGGCGTGGAGAGCGAGAATATATCGTCGGAATCACACTTTTATATTTAGGCACAACGCTAATGTGATGTAATCTTTACTGTATTAGAACAATGGAGCCACCGTAATTCGACGAACTCGCACCTTAGGCGATCGTAGTGCGG